GCATTCATGTTTTTGTGCCCGTTGTTGTTGCAAAATATACCAAAAAAAAAAAACCTCTACATGTTTGGGGGAGTCGGATAGTGCTGTTAAACTAAACGAGTCTAGCGCAGCTCGGCTCATTAAAGCTCGAGGTTTGCTCGACTCGTTTGATAATGGAGTTGAGTTAGAGCTCATTTAAAGCTCGTTTGGTTAACGAGCCGAACTTGGCTCGAAAAGAGATTTTTTATATAATTTTCTATAGTTCGGCTCGTTAAAACTCGAAATTGACTCGTTATTAATTATAAATGAGCCGCGCTCGAGCTTGAGCTCGATTTCGATTTTAGGCCCGTTTGTCCAAGGTGTGGAGCTCTGCTCGGATTGTTAAGGGTTTGAGCTCGAGCTCGGCTCGACTGACTCGTTTAAGTAAGCGTTATCCAAGCGGATTTGGGATAATTTGACGTCGATTCAAAAATTGACTTGCTGACCCTTAGTATTTGGAATCTTCTAATTCCATAAAAAAGGTATGTTAACAAGATTTACCGATTTGATTTTGATAGTCATGTGCAAATAGTCACTGAACTTGCAAGCATATATAATGTTTAAATTGTATTAGTTTTGCTATGGAGCCATCGAATGACTCGGCTTATGGAGCAATCCACACCTATTCATCAATATTGTATTGACACGTGTTCTACAATAAATACAATTTGAACAGGTGTCAATATATTAAGCCATGGGTGACTCCATAAGAAAACCATTCGATTGCTCCATAAAATTTTTGTAAAATGTAGTTAGTAGTAAAAGGAGAAACTGGTCACAACACGAAAGACCATGAAAAAACTTGCAATATGAAAGAAAGAGTAAATTACTCTTGACCCCACTCTATTAACTCCGTAGAGGCCCATTTATTGAAGTTGGGCTAAGATGGTTTCTATCACTATTGACTTCGTAGTTCATACTGGCCACTTTATTGAAGTTAGGCTTTAGATGGGTTTTAAATTATTCCTGTGGGCTTAACAATTAAAACTTACTTTTACAAGTTTATGTGAAAGGCGAGGCCCAGCATTGGAAGTCAAATTCAACTCAACTTTATTCCGTTCATACATTTCGCTTTTTCTCTTCCCTTCACTTGGTTTGTTTCCATACAATTTTTAAATTGAAGATCAATATTTTTAGCACACTTCTCTATAAAATTCAATATTTATCATCCCACAATTTATAAGGGCATCTCCAATGGTAATAGCTATTACTAGCTATATGGTTAGCTGACGTGGATGTGAGAGATAAGAAAAATAACTATTTTACACTATCGGACCCACTTACTCCTCTCACATAATCTTGGGCTACGTGAAATAGATAAGCTATTTGTTAGTAGCTAGTTACTACTCTCTCTCTTACTTTTCCCCTGTCCACGTCATAATAGTTAGCCAAATAGCTAACCATTGGAGACGCCCTAACCGATGAAACCGACGAAAGCAAGTTCTGTGATTTGAAGCGCCAGGAAAGGGATTTGAAGAGAAGAAGTAATTTAAGGAAGTATTGTTAAATTAAACGAGTCTTGCTTGACTCGACTCGTTAAGGCTATAGTTCGGCTCGAATTTGAGGCTTTAGCTAAGCACGAGCTCATTTAAAGCTCATTTGGTTATAAGGCTCGTTAAGATTTGTAAAACGAAATTTTATATAATTTTATGCAATTCAGTTCGTTAAATCTCAAGATAGATATTTTAAGGCTCAAGCACGAGACCTTAACGAGCAACCTAAGCTCGAGCTCAGCTCGAGATGTGGAGTCAATTTTTTTATGTTGTATTCAATATTTATTGTGGAGTCAGTTTTTTATGTTGTATTCAGTTTTTTATGTTGTATTCAGTATTTATTGTTATAAAGATAAATATAAATTAACTTTTTTATACCTACAATATGGATGTTAAATCGAAATACATCAAAAAAAGATTAATTTGATATATTACATATATAAAACTGATAAAAATATAAAAGTTATTAACTTTTAAAATACATATACACTTCAATAGTTATAATAAGGAATGATATTAAAATCCAATTAATGCATGTAACATGACCATAAATAATCAACATATTTATGTTAATCCGCACCTAATTATTTTTTTGTTTAAAATTAAATTAAAATTTATCCAAACTTAATTTTTTCACATAGGATTTCCAAGCACTAAAAGCAGGCATGTAGGCTCAGCGCGTTCTGAATTAATTTATAAGGGATAGGGGGATTTGTTAAGAAAGTTTTTAATTATTCTAGAAAAAAACGTGAGGGGTATAATTGTCAAATTAAAAAAAAAGTTTTCAAAAGCTAGGTTTGGTTTGGAAGCGACTGTCATTTGATTTGAGGCAAAGACAGAGTTCCGATCATCTCGTTCTTGGTTCCGTTCATCTCGTGAAGCCACAAGCCACATAATGTAAGTTCGGTATTTCAAATTAGGGTTGAAATATATTTGATTTTCGTGGCATTTATGCTTTTTCTGTTTGTTTTTTTAGGCGTTTTGTGGTGAGGAATGAGGAGGAAGCCGCGGCGGCACTCGTCGTCGCCAGGGTACTTGCTCCGGACACCCTGACGGTGAAGTTGGACTCAGAAATGGCGCCGAACGTTGCAGCTAGGGTTATTGAGGACTTGGCTGTTGCAGACAACATCTTCATAATCGATGTTGACCAAAACACCGTTGCTTGGTCTGTCGCGAAAGCTGGAGCAGTTGTTGGGGCAGCAGCAGTGTTAGCTGTGTTCTGCGTGAAGGCTGTTAGAATATCACTTGTGAGTTGTCCCACATCGTTCACACATAATAAATAGACATGATATCAGAGCTCACTTTGTGCCTGGGTTAGAGACA